CAAATACATTACCCTGTCTGCTTATTATATAACTATGCAAGATTTTATAAGGTTTATCTTGGCACTTTTTAAGCACAATGACAGTAAATGTACATCTTACCCCTTTTCCAAGTCTTCTCTTGATTTCATATTTCAAAGTGATGTGCTCTTCCACCTCTGTGATGTTCATTCCGTCTGTTTCCTGTTTTACCACTTAAAATGAATCTTAATGTTGATTGATTTTGATCATGGCAAGGAATAAAATCCTGGCTGCTTGAGGAATGCAGGATTGCAACAAATCAGATTCAATAAACAAAAACTAAAAATAAGATCTTATGAATTCACTCCACTAACTAGGAGTGAACTTTTCCTAAGCGGTATGCCGAATAATAAATCTAAACACGAATTTATCACGCGTTAATCTTAATCACTATTGACCATCCAAACATTTAAACGGAGTTATATAAATGCGAATCTCGACCTGCTGAAAGCAGATGTTTGTCGTTTGGATTTCACCATTGATATCTGTGGTTGCTCATATGGCCTGGTAGAGAGTTGCGCATCGCCTGGGTTTGTAATTGTTTGTCGCCATGGAGACGATACATAGGACGCAATCTCTTAAAGGAGCCGCATGTTTGCTAAAAGTGCGGTTACATTAGCGAAATTTCCCAAGTAGATAGAACTGCAGACCGGAGATCTCCAAAATGGGGCGTGAACTCCAAAAGTGGGCATAACCACCAAAATGGGGCGGGGTCTCCTCGCGCAAAGACTTTCACCATTGGCTCTGGCTCCAGCCAATTGTTATTGACTTACATTTCAAAATAAAAATGTATAAATTAAGCATTGTTTCTAGTTCATCTAAAATAAAATATGCTATATAAATAAATATTCTCCGTTAGAGCAGAGCCCAAAGCTCGTGGACAGTGGTATTCGGACTTGAGTTTGAACCTCTGCTTAATGATATAAACGAGAATCACCCACGAGCTTTCTCGCGAGCCATCCCAGCGCAGGGGAACAATTTTACTCTATTGCTTTGGTCTAAGCAACGGGGGCGTCCCGGGGCTCGAAATTCGCAAGGTATGAGGGGGTAGTGACGCTGGGTGTAACTAAAAAGGTGCTATTGTCCGGTGAGGTCCGGTTGGGGAGTTACAGAACTATGTCATAACGCATAATCTTATTAACTGTTTATCTCCTGAACTGCAACTTTCTTTACCACGTTATTCAGCGCCAAGCCCAAAGCTTGTGGCCAGTGGTATTCGGACTTGAGTTTGAACCTCTGCTTAATGATATAAACGAGAATCACCCACGAGCTTTCTCGCGAGCCATCCCAGCGCAGGGGAACAATTTTACTCTATTGCTTTGGTCTAAGCAACGGGGGCGTCCCGGGGCTCGAAATTCGCAAGGTATGAGGGGGTAGTGACGCTGGGTGTAACTAAAAAGGTGCTATTGTCCGGTGAGGTCCGGTTGGGGAGTTACAGAACTATGTCATAACGCATAATCTTATTAACTGTTTATCTCCTGAACTGCAACTTTCTTTACCACGTTATTCAGCGCCAATCCCGCCGTGCAGTCAATTTCACTGGTTAAGGTTAGGGTCAGGTGTGGGGTAGGTTTAGGGGTTAGCATTTTTTGGAAATCAACACTTTAATTGACACAACCAATAAAATCTTTAGAATGAGCTGTGGGGCGGAGTTTGCACTGAAGTGGATTGGGGGGAAAAAATGCGCATGCATGTCATGTGCCTGTCTGTCAATGGAAGGAAGCAACGCCCTATTTTGGAGCTCCCACCCCGTTTTGGAGTTCCCGCCCCCATTTGGAGAACTCCAGGCTGCAGTTATGCCCTTCTCGGCAAAAACGGTCAATGGTTAAATGTTAATTACAGTGGGGCAAATAAGTATTTGATACACTGCCGATTTTTCAAGTTTTCCCACTTACAAAGAATGGAGAGATCTGTAATTTTCATCGTAGGTACACCTCAACTGTGAGAGACCGAATCAAAAAAAAAAAAAATCCAGAAAATAACATTGTATGATTTTTTAATAATTAATTTCCATTTTATTGCATGAAATAAGTATTTGATACAATAGAAAAATAGAACTTAATATTTGGTACAGAAACCTTTGTTTACAATTACAGAGGTCAGACGCTTCCTGTAGTTCTTGACCAGGTTTGCACACACTGCAGCAGGGATTTTGGCCCACTCCTCCATACAAGGTGTTCTCCAGATCTTTCAGGTTTTGGGGCTATCGCTGGGCAACATGGAGTTTCAGCTCCCTCCATAGATTTTCTATTGGGTTCAGGTCTGGAGACTGGCTAGGCCACTCCAGAACCTTGAAATGCTTCTTATGGAGCCGCTCCTTAGTTGCCCTGGCTGTGTGTTTGGGGTCATTGTCATGCTGGAAGACCCAGCCACGACCCATCTTCAATGCTCTTACTGAGGGAAAGAGGTTGTTGCCCAAAATCTCACGATACATGGCCCCATCCATCCTCCCATCAATACGGTGCAGTCGTCCTGTCCCCTATGCAGAAAAGCACCCCCAAAGCATGATGGTTCCACCCCCAGGCTTCACGGTTGGGATGGTGTTCTTGGGATTATACTCATTCTTCTTCTTCCACCAAACCCGTCGAGAGGAGTTTATACCAAAAACTTCTATTTTGGTCTCCTCTGACCACATGACCTTCTCCCATGCCTCCTCTGGATCATCCAGATGGTCTTTGGCAAACTTCAGACGGGCCTGGACATGTGCTGGCTTGAGCAGGGGGACCTTGCCCACGCTGCAGGATTTTAATCCATGACGGTGTAGTGTGTTACTAATGGTAACCGTTGAGACTGTGGTCCCAGCTCTCTTCAGGTCATTGACCAGGTCCTCCCGTGTAGTTCTAGGCTGATCCCTCACCTTTCTCAGGATCATTGATACTCCACGAGGCGAGATCTTGCATGGAGCCCCAGTCCGAGGGAGATTGACAGTCATCTTGCATTTCTTCCATTTTCTAATAATTGCGCCAACAGTTGTTGCCTTCTCACCAAGCTGTTTGCCTATTTTCCTGTAGCCCATCCCAGCCTTGTGCAGGTCTACAATTTTGTCCTGGTGTCCTTAGACAGCTCTTTGGTCTTGCCCATAGTGGAGAGGTTGGAGTCTGATTGATTGAGTGTGTGGACCGGTGTCTTTTATACAGGTAACAAGTTCAAACAGGTGCAATTAATACAGGTAATGAGTGGAGGATAGGAGGGCTTCTTAAAGACAAACTAACAGGTCTGTGAGAGCTAGAATTCTTGCTGGTTGGTAGGTGATCAAATACTTATTTCATGCAATAAAATGGAAATTAATTATTTAAAAATCATACAATGTGATTTTCTGGATTTTTTTTTTTTGATTCTGTCTCTCACAGTTGAGGTGTACCTACGATGAAAATTACAGATCTCTCCATTCTTTGTAAGTGGGAAAACTTGAAAAATCAGCAGTGTATCAAATACTTATTTGCCCCACTGTATATACTTATGTATGAAGCATTACCTACACAGAAGTCGCTTTTAAAACAAGCAGCTTTTGCTTGGTCAGCAACGCGTATGACCAACTTAAACACGTTTTGAAATCTGAATGGGGAAATCTTTCGCCAACAAAGTCACCTGAAAAAAAATTGGGTAAAATGACCCTTAGTATAGTGTTTCGGAACCCTCTGTCCAATTTGCTTAGGTTTGAATGTAATTAACATGGTGCAGATATCCATGTATCATGCATTACTGTGTGTGCTGTTGGCTAGTAGACATTATATTAAGGTATGCAACCAAATGAAAGGGTTTAATATAATTGCTTGTACATATAATCACAAATATTTTTTCAAAGTATTATGTGGTTTATTTCAAAACAATTTTATTTACATAGGTCATTTAATAAATATGCCTTATTACATAAAGTGAGCTAGACCAACACCATGCCAAGGAAAGAGTAAGTTCTTAATCAAGCTTTTATAAAAGTCAAGTCATACACCAACAAATGTTAAAGTACTGTAAATGAATGAGCGCATTTAACATTGTCTCATTTAAATACTGGGAAACATCTATTTAAAAAAAAATAAGGAAAGTGTGTAGCTAAGGAAAACATCCATTTAAAATAAAACGCAGTACTGAGAGTTCAGTATCAGACCTTGTTCTAGAAGATATTATGAGATTCATAAACTATCAATTCATATGTTCATTCAACACATGTATTTATAGAGGCAAGCATCTTTTGCCTATAATAAACTCCTCCCTATAACGCCCTCGTTGCATCTCAGTTGGCTATTGTATTCGCTATTGCCATTCTATAGAACACTTTCAGACTACCATGTGATAGTAAAATCTCTTTACGTTAAAAAAAATCTCCTACTCCTAATTTTCAAATCTGTGAATAATATAATCCTGATTGTATTACTGAACAATATAAGCCTTAGTAAGCAGTACTCTAATTGGATTTAAAGTTCCTACATTCCTACAAGAGACATGGGCAAAATGAAACAAAGGTTTGATAAAAAAACAAAAAGCTGGTGGAAAAGAGTTCAGAGAGCTCAGAGAGGGAAGAAACATTTAAGAAGAGTGTAAGAAACGATTAAAGGCGTTGTAGGCAGACTCCAGGTCAAAGAGCATCTGGCGAACCTGGGAGTCATCCAGCTCATCAGATGCAGACATGCTGCTTAGTGTGGTTAACCTGTGAGGAAGAACAACACAGTGAGCATTGCTTTTAAAGTGCACAGAAACTGAATTAATTTTTCAGGCAGTTGGATTTAGTTTTGATTTTAGATTTTGGCAGATGAGCCATTTTTTCTAGAAGATATTATGAGATTCATAAACTTTCAATTCATATGTTCATTCAACATGTATTTATAGAGGCAAGCATCTTTTGCCTATAATAAACTCCTCCCTATAACGCCCTCGTTGCATCTCAGTTGGCTATTGTATTCGCTATTGCCATTCTATAGAACACTTTCAGACTACCATGTGATAGTAAAATCTCTTTACGTTAAAAAAAATCTCCTACTCCTAATTTTCAAATCTGTGAATAATATAATCCTGATTGTATTACTGAACAATATAAGCCTTAGTAAGCAGTACTCTAATTGGATTTAAAGTTCCTACATTCCTACAAGAGACATGGGCAAAATGAAACAAAGGTTTGATAAAAAAACAAAAAGCTGGTGGAAAAGAGTTCAGAGAGCTCAGAGAGGGAAGAAACATTTAAGAAGAGTGTAAGAAACGATTAAAGGCGTTGTAGGCAGACTCCAGGTCAAAGAGCATCTGGCGAACCTGGGAGTCATCCAGCTCATCAGATGCAGACATGCTGCTTAGTGTGGTTAACCTGTGAGGAAGAACAACACAGTGAGCATTGCTTTTAAAGTGCACAGAAACTGAATTAATTTTTCAGGCAGTTGGATTTAGTTTTGATTTTAGATTTTGGCAGATGAGCCATTTTATTTAATGCGTTCTAAATGTGATTTACAAAAGTCACATAATTCTTCAGGAATCAAATTAATATGCCGATTTGGTGCTTAACAAACATTTCTTATTATTATCAATGTTAAACACATTTGCGCTGCTTAATTTTTTTGAACACTGATTTTTTTTCCAGTATTTTCGATGAATAGAAATGAAAAAACAACATTTATTTGAAACAGAAATGTTGTGCAAAATTATAAATGTCTTTACTGTCACTTTTGTTTTTTACTTTTTGAATGGTACTGTATTTCTACAGTAAAACTAGGCTTACCAGAGGCTGACTTTGTCTTTGGCCTCTGAATCTGGAGGCATGTTGCTCATTCGATTCATGGTCTCCATGAGCTCTCTCAGGTCAGGCTGGATCTATATAAAACAATGTTCTCAGTTCATCAGTAATTCAAATCAAGAAGACTTAAACTGTCTCTAAATAACATTTTGTTCATCTAATTAAGCAGATGTATTCTGTGAAATGAGTACCTCATCCATGGCACGAATCTCAAGTCGAAGTTTGTCCATCACTGTGATAAAGAGCTGCATGAGAGAAAACAAATATTAAAAAGGGTAAAGGAGCAGATTTTGCCAGTTATTATGATTGCTGAATTGCCACTCTACTGTGGAGCCCTGGACAAATTGCATATGGCATTATTTCTTCTAGTCTGATGAAACAAATCTACTTAATGGAACTATTGGAACAAGAAGGCATCCTCTGTGCTCAGTCAATAAACACTAGGGCGTTCCGGCATTAGCTCAAGAAGCTATTCATTCTAGGCTGCATAAAATCACTATACAAAGTGTTCAAGATACATACAGAAACTATGTCTGCAATGCAGCGATTCAGGTTGCCCTTGTCATCCTTAATGGTGATTGGTCGATCCTCTTTGATCCTTTCCATAGCCAGTGGACAGTCCAGCTGTCAGAAACACACAGGGGAAAAAATGTAAACTAAAGCATACTGATCTGCATGCAATGCACTGGACTAGCAAATTACTAGCCAAAGTTACAAAAGAGCATTAAAATAGAATAGTTTAGAGTTGCATGTACGCAAAATAAGCTATACCCTGTATTTCCGACAAAAGTCATCAATGGAGCCCACATCTGATCCCTGGACTTGTTTGAAAGCAGCCTTGTACTGGACAAGCAATCTTGAGCAAGCTCCTGTGTATCTGCAAAAACAAAGCAAATATTTATTATATGAATAGATGTAAATAAGGGTGTGGTCACACTGGCAACAGTTTATGGGCAAAAAAGGTCCATTGTCTATTGTTATAGATCAGTTATGTATGAAGCATAGCTCACACAGAAGTCACTTTAAAACAAAGCAGCTTCTGGCTGTTCAACACACACAGTAAATTTACCTGACTAATGTTGGGGAAACGGTGTGCAGACATATTTCATATCACATGAAATTTCCAATCATGTGGACTCCTATTCAAATTTCTGGATTTTACTCGCAAACTGTGCATGTGACCACACCTTAATTCACAATGTTTTGCACAAACAAATTAAGTGACTAACTCGTTTGGAGTCACACAGTCCTTAATGTAGGCTTTTTCCAGGGCCTGAAGCGTTTTGACCACAGCAAACAACTCTGCCATGTTGTCATACCTTTCAAAACAAAATAAAAAGGACATTAATTGCAACCCAATCACGTAATCACCATTCTGCATCATCTTTATTGTGACATCAATCAATAAGACAAATAAATAAGGGAACTCAAATGAGCCATTCCTGAACAGTATGATGTTGGTTAACTTACTTTTCTCTTTCTCTGGCATTTTTGTACAATTTCACTTCCTGTAACAGACAAAAATGTAATTTAAACACAGAGGAATGATGACAGATGAGTCCATTATTACAAGTTATGGGCACGACATAACATTATTACCTCATACAGTTCTGGCTTGTTGGCAGGTGCTGGTTAAGTTAAAGCAGAGAGGCAAAACATATCAAATCAGATATGAGACTAATGAAAATATGTGCAAGAGTAAAAGAAGTTTGAGATGCTTTGATTTTCTAGAGGCTCATGATTAAGCAGGTTCTCTCACTCACCTCCTCCCATCACTCCAGAGGCAGGTATTCCATGAAACATGATGAACTAACGTACAAAACAATTGAAGCGCGAATCAGATCATTATGTTTGGTTTAGCCACGGGTCAGCGCTATTCTCAGTGGAATAAATGATATACACAGTGGTTGCATATCAAAAGCGACTGATCTGATCTCAGTATGTTTAGACACATTGTGGACAAGGAAATACAATTGAAACTTATACAGAGTAGACAGACAATATGAGTTACTCATTAGATTTTACACATTTAACGAACTGACTGACGCAAGGTATTGTGAATCCCAAGCGGAGCATATAATACACCCGCTAATTTTGTTTTGTTTATTTCCTGACAAATACACAGCGACGTTAGCATAGCTAGCTAAGATATTGCTTTCAATCCGCAGTGAGAGTACAAGAGACGTTGATGTCTATGTAATTTAAACACAGAGGAATGATGACAGATGAGTCCATTATTACAAATTATGGGCACGACATAACATTATTACCTCATACAGTTCTGGCTTGTTGGCAGGTGCTGGTTAAGTTAAAGCAGAGAGGCAAAACATATCAAATCAGATATGAGACTAATGAAAATATGTGCAAGAGTAAAAGAAGTTTGAGATGCTTTGATTTTCTAGAGGCTCATGATTAAGCAGGTTCTCTCACTCACCTCCTCCCATCACTCCAGAGGCAGGTATTCCATGAAACATGATGAACTAACGTACAAAACAATTGAAGCGCGAATCAGATCATTATGTTTGGTTTAGCCACGGGTCAGCGCTATTCTCAGTGGAATAAATGATATACACAGTGGTTGCATATCAAAAGCGACTGATCTGATCTCAGTATGTTTAGACACATTGTGGACAAGGAAATACAATTGAAACTTATACAGAGTAGACAGACAATATGAGTTACTCATTAGATTTTACACATTTAACGAACTGACTGACGCAAGGTATTGTGAATCCCAAGCGGAGCATATAATACACCCGCTAATTTTGTTTTGTTTATTTCCTGACAAATACACAGCGACGTTAGCATAGCTAGCTAAGATATTGCTTTCAATCCGCAGTGAGAGTACAAGAGACGTTGATGTCTCTCGTTAATTCACAGCTTATATACGTCTATAACGTTAATGTGGTTATGAGATGACATATTATTAAACCACTAAAGGTATTTTTGAGCAAAAACGCAGCCCAGGAAAAAGAGAATTCACTCACCCTTATATTGACGTCACCCACCGGACCGCAGCAAGCTGACGTGACGTCGCCGGATGATTTCGTAACGTCCTGTTTTCGCCGACTTATTCATTACAAAACTTGTTTATGCAAAGAATATACTATTTAATCTCAAGTAATAGGAATCGTTATTTATTCAATTTAACGTTCGGAGAAAACTGTAACATTTGTGCACACGTTTCATTGTGACGGGTTGCCAAGTCCCTTTGATATTTCCACACTAATAAATATATCGCACTTTATTCACTCACTTATGTAATGCATAAGTTAACTACATTATAGTATAATAACTGTTTGATATAGTGTATTATACAGCATCGTAATGCCATCACCTTCATTATTATAACCAGTGCTATTAATCTAACAGAACTGATTGATCGATCATTCATAAGAATACTTGGCAACCCGAGACTGTCTTTGAATACGCGCGCGGGAATGCGGGAATGACTAGACAGCTAACAGTGAACGGAGGAGCTCGAGAAACTGTATATATGGTAAATAACTCAAATATAAGTTAATGTCGATTGTTAGCTTTGTTTGTTATGAGACTGTGAGCGTTTCAGGGAATTGTTTGTCCAGTATATAAAGAGAGGCTGGTTATTTGAGTGTGTGGGATTTGTAAACAATGAAATCCACTAAAGTGAAACCTGCAGCATCAGCTAAAGAAGAAGAGTGTGGAATATGGCTCGACGCAAAAGAGTTAAAAGAAAAGAAACAACAGGTAACAACAACGGAATTCTAATTAAATATATTTAGACCAAATCTAACCTTTTAAGTGTATTGAAAAGATTTTTTTATTTTGTCTTCGTAAGAAAAAAAATGAACACTACATGAAAGATGAAGGGATCTCATATAGCTTTTTACATTTTTTCAGAAACAGCTGACCCGTCCAATATCCAAATTCCTGAACCCACTTGCGAGATCAGGGGGATACAGTGTGGCAGTCGCACTCAGCTTCACTCAGACCAAACTCAACATGCCTGTCACTAGACAAAGCTCTATATCAACCTTCTTTTCACCCAAATCCAGAGGTAAGACGTCCCAGAGTTCTTTCATACTGTGATGATAAACTGTTAAAGCTAAATAATAATTACCTTTTGTCCTTTTCTGACTGGCATTTGTTTGCCCAGACCCTAACCCAAGTGCGGCTTATTCTGGGTTGTCCAGTTCCATGCACACAGAGGCACACACCGGGGCCAAACGGAAACATGATGTGACTTTGGAGCCATCTACAGAATCAACCAGTCAAATATCTGAGGAGCACTGTGATGAAGATTTTGAAAGATTGTCAGCCAAGGACCAAAAAGAACAGTCTTTTCTCCATTTAATATGCGGAACTGAGCCAGAGGAAGAAGAACCGTCTGAAAAAAGGAGACATGTTGTCCATTATACAGAAAATGTGTTGGAGACACAAGAATATTGGAATAAAGAAGCTTCAAATGAATATCCAAATCAGACAATTCCTGAAACTGAGACTTTCTTTCACGAGGAGTCCCCGGAGCACTATGATCTGATGGTCTGGAAGCCCTCTGAAGATGCACATAAGCATTTCCTGAAGTCTCCAGGTCCTAAACACACGGACAAACATGATTTAAGAGATCAGAAGGCCTCAGTTAAGGGGTCTATCTTAACTTCTAGGCCTGCCAATGAACACCACAAAAGATGGAGTGCTTCTGTGAATACTAATAAAAATCAGGAGCAGTCTTGGCACAAAAATAAGGCATCGCCCATGAAACGGATGGGGAAAGAGAATAGATGGCCTGCATCACCTATTAAAAATGCTCCAACATCGCCTTTTAAACACCATCACATTTCCAGTCCAGCTAAGTGCAGGTTAAAGGAGAAATACACTTTTCCCCCAAAAAAATCATGTAAGGAACTTGTAAACACAGAGACAGTTGGAGAAACTTTTGCTACGCTGTTTACTCAGGACTCAGAGGGCTTCTGTGTGATTGCTCATCGTGACAAGCACTTAAGGAGCCCACTAAGAGACCAGAGCAATTTATCTGTGGGCAAAGATTACGGGAATAGTCCATCTGCCGCTTCTTTAGGAAAAGAGGAGGAGGAATCAGATCTAGAGCCAGAGATGCTTTTCACCCAAGACTCCGAGGGAAACATGGTCATCAAGCATTAGCCAGAAACAGATGCGAAATACCACAAGAACACAGAATTTTAAGTGTTTTTTTTTAATTGATTTTCTTTGAAGCTCTTGATTTTGTTAAAGTTGTAATTAAAATATTTGAACATTTGAATGAACATTCAATTCAAAAATAAACATTTGTACAAGTACAAATAAACCCCCAAAAATGATTTGTTGTGTAATATTTGATAAAGATTCACTGCTTGCCAGCAGATGGCACCATGAAGCTTTTACTGTCAATGTTTGGTGTATTCCTTAAGCTGTGCTTGTAGAATCTGTATATTTTAAAGTAGGACATGACGTGTCACATTAAACAAGTTGAGTACATTTGAGTTTAAAAGCTCTATCATTTGAAATTAATTTACGTTATGTATTGCTTTAAATGACCAGAATGGAGCAAGGTGAATACTTCACATTCTGTTCTCGTTTGCCAAGTTGATGATCCCCCATTGCTGCTCTGTTTAAATGTGCTGTCAGAGACAGTTTCATTAAAGAGCCATGTGCTGACAAATTCACTCATTTTTCATGCATTTATAATAGATGCCATGGACTACCAAATGTAATGATCCCCTTGTAAGGGACCCCTTCCTAAAATATAAAGGCAGTTTCATGTATAAAAACCCATTTATACTGTGTGTGAAAAATATTAAGTGAGATATTAGAAGTACAACAAAATTAGATAAAAAAAATTAGATTACCATTTTTATAGTGAGTTAACTGGCTCATATTTTTCTTGTACTAAAGCAAAATTTAAACAACGGGGTTTTTTCACAGAACTTTTTTGCTGATTAGTTTTTTGTTACTGTTAAAAACTAGTATTGTCAGTACAATAAATACAATCTGATTCCTGATCATTCTTTAGAAAGAAAGAATGAAAGTAAAAATTATCCGTAATTAAGTGCACATTTTAACTGACAGCTCTATACATTTAGCAAAAATATTTGTCCCTTTTTGACAAAGCTTAATCAGAAGATGGTAAAAAATAAAATAAGTGTAGTGAGTTTACAGTTATTTTATTTGATTAAATTGATATGGTAACGTGAAAATACTTTGGTAAATTACCATTTAAGGTGTGTGATTTAATACAGTGTACACGTTCTACTTTGTTTAAGCATCATTATTAAATGTGCATTACATTATAGTTAAACGTCGACTGTTTACTGACCAAGCAAATGTAACATGATTCCCTTTTATGGACTGAAGAATGCTACATATTAACACATGTTGGCATACATTCAAAATGAGCTGAAGTGTTCAAGACCTTCGTGTTGAAGAAACATTTAAAGCATGTCAATTTACAAGCAATGTAAATATGTGAGTGCAAAGTGAATGAACTAGTCTCAGAAATGAGTAGTCTGAGATTATAAATGAAATATAGAGTGATAAAATTCAGCAATATTTGAACTATATTAAAATAATATAAAATCTTATAAAAAATTACCCCCAAAGCCACTCATTCATTTGCAGAACAAAGACTATTTATCACACTCCGAATAAAAAGAGGTTTGATTGTAAAATATCCATTGATTTTTCTCCTTTGCTCATGATTGCACATATCCTGCATCCAAAGCCTGAAGATACAAGATTACCTTGCCAAATAAAAGTTTTTGTGTGTGTGTGTTTTTTTCCAAAAAGAAAATATTATGAACTGAAACTGGGATTTGTAATCTGTAGGAAATGTAAAATGTGACTGCACAAAACAAAGAACTGGTTTCTCCATAAAAACAAGTTCAATATAGGTAAATATTTTTTTATGTTTTATTATATTGCTACACAGAACCAACATGTATTTAACATGAGAATTTATGACATCAACACAAAGTACTTGATAATGTCAAAGACAAAAACAAACAAAATCCATACTTTAATAAATAAAATATATATTGTCAGGAATAAGTAAACATCTGATTGCTTACTGATTCATTATTTTAACTTAGTACTTTGAGTTGCTGCCTAAAAAAATTCCCATATTCACACATAATGGTGCCATCATCTGTAATTACTTTTAATGTATAATAATTAATATATGTATATTATGTATTTTTATTGCTGCTTAGTTAAGGAGAAACATCTCCATTTGTTGAAATGTTTCATAATTGGTTTGTGGAAAATGGAACTTTTTGTCCATATTTTGCATTTTCTGAGCCTAAATCTACACCTCTCATAACCACAATGTATGAATTCTTCCGTCTCCACTAACAGTGTGATACAGTGAAAGTGCATGAAGAATTCTGGGTAGGAGGAAAGCGATGACGAGCTGGAAAAGGAATCAACCAGCAATCTTTGTGGGCTCTGTCACCAGGCTGGAGCCGTCCCAAACCGTTTTAAACTGCTCTGGGATTGGAAACTCCCTCTGTTGAATACACAAGAAGATATTAGTCAAATAATGTATAAACAATGCTTCAACCTTAAAGGCTCATATCTGAATGTAAAGCAGGTCAAATCTCTGGAATAGAACATTGTTATTTTGGTACATGACATAATGTATCAAGAAAGTTATTTGTTAAAATGAAAGGTTATGCTAGCTCCATTTGTAGATATTTCCAGTGTAAATAAACTTACATAATCATCTTCTCCCTCAGGAACGAGGACGTTCATCTCAGAGCTCTTGGCACTGACAATCTCACAGTCAAGTGAATCCTTGCTCAAGTAGACATGGCACCCCTCAGTCTTGTTAATAGAAATAGTAGGAACTTTTCCCATAACCTGAAAGGCCAAAAACAAGTTTTGTGTTGTTCACAAGCAACAAAATACATAAGGGTGAAAAAACAGAGCTGCTCAGTCTGTAGTCCAAAAACTACAATTAGCTTGAAAGAATTTGTATTTTTGAGCCACAAGTTCCTACTTGGTGAAAACAAGCTCTAAAAGTCTATTGTGCTCAACAAGGCTGCATTTATTTGATAAAATAAGGTAAAACAGTAATATTGTGAAATATTATTACAATTTAAAACAATTGTTTTCTATTTTAATATATTTTAAAATGTAATTTATTTCTGTGATGGCAAAGCTAGATTTTCAGCAGCTATTACTCAGTCTGCAGTGTCACATGATCCTCAGAAACCCAGTTGATCAATTTAATGCCTCCTTCTTTAAAAAAAACAATATTATATGTGGTTGATGAATTGGGCAATATTATGTATTAATTTATTAGTAATGTTTGCTATAAAAGCATGTAGCAGCTACAAACATGTGTAATTTATGTCCGTTAACATCTCTTTAGTATCAACAGATGCATACCACAATGTTATTTAACATTGGTAGTTGTGTTGATTACGATATTCGTTATTGATTCTGGCAGTTATGACCATAATTCATGCACATACATTATGCCAACACATTCGTTTTCACAATAACAACCCTGAGTACAGATCACTCACAGTCACAACTTGTTATGCACACACATTTACATCTAACCTGAAGCTGAATGTCTCTGGAGTTGATGATCTCAACGATGCCCACCACACTGTCAAACACGAGTCCGAGCTTCTTACAGTTATCTGTGAGGAGAGAGACAGACATTAGCCAGGCGTGGTGCGCGGTGCTGCGATAGAGGAGGAGATAACGTTACTGGATAAGAGCAGCTGGTGTTATGAGGAGCTCCTCTTACCCACTATGATGGAGTTGACTTTGCCTTTGATCTGGAGTGTGGAGTTGCTACAGCTAAAGACATAAACCACCTGTCTGAGCTCGGTCTCCTCTATCACCAGGTCATGAGACTTCTCCTGGTGCTCCTACAGGACAAATACATACAATAGATCCACTAAACACATGCTGGAGGCACGGTAAATCAATAAGAGTCTCACTACAAGTGCAGGGTAGCTTAGTTTACAAGTGTGTGATGAGTGTTCTCATTTTAAGATCTCTACATTCATCCAACCCACTTTTTGGGAGATAATGATCATTTTTTGGTGATCCCTGCCTTAATGAATCTCTTCCACTTTCAAATGAATCCTATGCAACTGAGAATGATTATTTTATATAAAACATTTAGGCTCTGATGGTATAATATTAATAAAAAATGATATAATTAAAATGACAACAAAAATAACAACAACCATAATAATAATAACCACTATGCAAAGTGTAATTATTAGTATTAGTAATATTTATTATATATATTTGTATTATATATATATATTATATATAAAATATATTATTAATAATATAATATAATATAATAACGACCACTATGCTAAATAATATAATAAAATAATTAGATTAATGAATCTCTTCCATTTTTAAATAATTTCTATGCCACTGAGAATGATTATTTATATATAATTTTTAGGCTCCAATAAATGTATTTCTATTCAGAAAATTGTATAATAATAATAATAATAATATCACAATGCTATTTTATTTAAATAATAATAATAATAATAATAATAATAAGAAGAAGAAGAAGAAGAAGACATTTATATATACATTAGCAGAATGACACAATTGACCAATGTGAATCTAGTATTGCTTGGAGCTGTGCAATAAGAATAATGTAATATTTTTCCATCGCATCAGACCTTATTATATATAAATCATCTCTTTTGTGTTTAACACAACTTTTTTTTGCTTCCTTTTAATAAAAATAATTTAATTCACAAGTTGTAGTGCTTAATGTGCTATATACTGCCTTCAATGCTTTAGAAATAGCATGTAGTAAATCAATAAAAACTCTAGTATGATACAGTATTTACAGTAGTATTCTACATTATTGTCACACAGCCTCAACATATTGCATGTTTAATTTAGTGAGTAGCATTTAGTCTTGAAAAGAAAAAATGCTAACCAACAATTTTACCTAAGTTATTTTACAAGTGAACTGAAAAAAATAATTAATTAATTTGCATTTTTATTTCCAAGATGATGATAATGACATTGATAATGTTAAGATAATGACATTGACTTAAAAATATCAAGTTCATTGCATTGTGGGATACATTTGTTTTTTCTTTTATTTAATTTTGCCAAATGTAGCAGAACGATTACAAGTAGTATGATTTAACGCTGGACACATTCAGACACATGCCAGTTGATGTCGTGTGGGAACCTACCACTCTCCACTTCTTTCCTTCCAGCTCCAGCACGGGGGAATGTTTTTTGGCAGGTGCGCACGCAGATGTGCTGGGGTTCTGACTTTTGGCTGGAGATCCCTGGTGTGTCCTCCCTCCCTGAGAGCGCACGTTGGGGTTCTTATGGGTCTTCTGCTCTTCAGACACATGCTTCAAACCTGGAGGCAGAGCACATCACCTGATGTCAGTTTTGAAGGCGGTATAGTATTTTATTGCGTGACGGTGTTCTCCTGCCCACCTTTAGTGATGACCTCTCCCTGGTTGAGCTGTGCAAACAGAGCTGAGTGCTGGGCTGCTGTGTCGTCGGGTTTGGGGCTGTCATCCATGAACATCGGAGGAGGACCTGGTGGAGGAGGAGGAGGAGGAGGGCAAGGACCACCAGAAGAAGCACTGAACAGTGAGGGAGGGGCTACAGGACCCTGTGAAGAACACCAGAGTTAGTCCCTGAGAAGTTGCAAACTGATATGCTCATTCCAGAATGGGAAAAACATCAAAAACAAAACTAAAACAGTATAGCTGTGAATCCACAGCCTCAAATAACACCTTTATAAAATGGTTAAAAACATTGTAACCGTGATGTTGATGAATTCACGGCAATGGTCATCTATCCAGGGGGGGGCGTAAGAGGCAATGGATTGGGTCTGTAGTGTTGCTGATTGACAGTTCAAAAACCAAGGTGACCTCCATAAAGAAAAATTTCAGGTATATTTATTTTTCATATTTATAATGTATACAATTTATTAAAATAAATGTTTGTAGAGCATCACTTGGAAAAGGATTCTGAATTTTTTTTAAGCTTTAAAGAGTTTAAATGGCAAAAATCATTGATTTTTAATACAGTAATATGGCCACACATTAAATCAATATTTCTCATGATATTAAAGACTATACATATATATATATATATATATATATATATATTATGATTATTACAATTATAAGAAAAATGGAAAACTGAGAAATAATGAGTAGGTGTGTTCAAACCTTTATCCACACAAATTATACATTTATAACACTATAATATAAAATAATAATAATAATAATATAAATCAAAATATGCAGTGAAAGGTTCATTAGTTAACTACATTAGTTAAGATGAACTAAGAATGACCAATACTTCTACAGCATTTATTAATCTAGTTAATGTTGATTTCAGCATTTACTAATCCATTATTAAAATCACAAGTTGTGTTTGTTAACATTAGTTAATACACTATGAACAAACAATAAACGACTGTATTTTTATTAACTAACATTAACAAATAACATTAACATGAACAAATAAAAAGTGTTATAAATGTATTGTTCATTGTTTGTTCATGTTAGTTAATACATTAACTAATGTTAACAAACAACACTTTATTGTAAAGTGTTACCAAATGTCTCTTTAGGAAAGTATATTGCTATATGGTTAATGCAATAATCTTTTGAAAGCAGTTCATATCAGTCCATGTGTTTCTGGCACAACTGGGATAATCTTATTTAACAGCATTTAAAGTAAAAGAACAGATCCGTGTGGCACAGTTGGCTATTGTGTGACCCTGACGGCACACTTACGCCTGTTTTATATTGTCAGCACAGCTGCCATTGACAGTTGCACACGGTTCCCACTTCAACACTTAAACTGGCTTAAACAACTGTTGCACACTCATCTTTTCCTGTCTTGTACAAACACACACACTTCTAATCCCAGTAATTGTGCTGATGTTCAGCATAGGTTAAACAGTTGGGCAACCCGACCTCTGACCCTAAAGGTCGATGCCTTGTGAAGAGGTGAAAAGGCAAAGGTACTTAAACTGTTAGAGGAAGTTGGAAAACATGGCAGACAAATACATAGTGATGCGGGAGTTTGATTGTGTCTGATGCGTGAGGATATACAGAAGTAAATGAAGTCAAAGGAGAAGTATAATGTGGAATACATGAGAAGCGAGGTTGAATTACGAGGAGTGTGTATGAGAGCAGGTGTGTAAGCCAGAGACACACTAGGCTTTTGTTGGGGTCATTTCTATGGTAAACCCCCCCATGCAAAAAGACCCAGATGACCACCTGTCCACACCATACAGTCCTCCACACATACTCAGAGCCCTCATGGCAGGAGGGACAGCTGACACACAGTCAGTGAGGGCTCTCAGGTTTCTGTTTGACACACACACTATTTCACCCCGTGACAGACAAGATTTAACATCTCCAAAAGTCCCAGAACTGCTTAAAGGGATAACTGTGTATTCTTTCAAAGTCATAAAAGTAGTATGAAGCCGTTTTATGAAAGTAAGCAAAAAAAGTTCTAATCTCTTTGTAACCTGACACATTGCTGCATATTATCAGTCAAGTTAAAGCCAGTAAAATAAAACATTACTTTCCTTTACATACACTACCATTCAAAAGTTGGGGATCGGTTAGAAATTTTTTTTATGTTTCCGAAAGAAGTCTCTTTTGCTCAACAAGGCTGCATATATTTGATCACAAATACAGTAGAAACAGTAATATTGTGAAATATGATTATGTTAAAATAACTGTTTTCTACTTTAATATATTTAAAATGTAATTTATTCCTGTAATGGCAAAGCTGAGCAATGTAGAAAACAGCTGTGCTGCTTAATATTTTTGTGGAAGCCATTATACATTTTTAAGGGTTCTCCTTTGATGAATATGAAGTTCAAAAGAACAGCATTTGTTTGAAATATCTTTACTGTCACTATTGATCAACTGAATGCATCCTAGCTGAACAAAAGTCTTAATTTCTTTCCAATCTTTTGAACAATAGTGTAAATAGATTCAATTCATAGAATAAACTCATAGATTAAACTCTAAATAATTGTTAGGCATCACAACATTATAATGTACAATATTTGCTAAAGATTACATTTAACAGTGTTATTAAATTATTAGTGTTTTTAAAGATTAACTTTAAGCAAAATATTTTAAATAACATCAATTTAAAAACAATTTATCTAAATATTAATACAAATTATCTAAATGTAAAATTATAGGGGAAATTAGCATGAACAATTAAATATGCAATATCGACTGATACTGATAAATAAAAAATTCTCTAACTTCGGTATGGATATAAGTGGTATAATACCAATATACTGGAAGAGATGAATTTCAAAGGCAGACATGCATAAATATAACTGTACTAGTTATCTAGATCGATGTACACCGTATAGCTGTTGATCATCTGAAATTAATCTGCATTCAACCAGCCTCTGTATGACTAAAAATGGAAAATATGCTTTTCTGTATTGCAGTTTCAGTTTTTCCTAATTTGAAACGGAAACACGATATCTAGCATTGCAAATATTTACGTCTTAGAAAATGACAGATTTCCATATTACTGTAGAGTTTTGATTACCAACATCAGCTGTTCTAATTGTACAATCTGAATATTCAAGAATATTCATATCATACATCCTGAATACAAAAAAGTCGAGGTGAGCCTTAAGTCATTTTACAATTGAAAGTCTCACTTACAGTCTTGTTCCAGAAGAGTCCAGTGGTGTGGTGCTCTTTTATGTAGGTCTGAAGTTCAGTCCAGATGTTCAGATAGGAACGAACCCACTCAACATGACATGGGTCACTGGGGTCAACAGAGACACAAAAAAACGTTCACTGGCATTGTTTAAGTGAACAAATAAATCATATTTTCCTAAATGTACATGTACAACATTACTGTGAGGGAAATTTACTATGTGTGTAGGTACATTAACAAAAAGTACCAAACTGGTATTAAAGTACAGTAATATCATGGTATTACTTGAAGATCCCTGAAGTAGCAGATAAATACCATTATACATGACTATGATAATCATTCTCACAATACCATGTAAGGGACATTTCACATTAACATAAACTGATCTGATATGAACTAAAAAAAAACTAATGCACTAACGTGTCTTTGTAATCTTTCAGGACTCTGTTTGTGTAGAATATTGCAGCATCGTTCATCTCTTTCACATACGGCCCTGGTTTCTGACACTGTGACAGAGCAAGACAACAAAGGGTCAAAAGATGGTCAAAGAAGCTTATGTACTCATAAAAATAAATAATAAGCATAGAAAAAAAGGATCAATTTCAAGGAAAGCACTAAAACTGAGGTCTTGAACCTTTGTTGTAAACATCAGCGGTAGTTTAAAGCAGAAAATGATAGAGTCCAGATCTGTCTTAGTCCAAATTCACATTGCAGTGATTAGATGCAGCCATTCACAGCATGAAGACATCAGAAGAGTTTACATAATAGAAAATAAATACAGAAATTCAAATATCAGTTTGGTGGTCCTCTCACCGATGACTCATATGGTTTGTGTGAGGTCGTCCGGTTGTCTCAACCAAAGAAAATATGCCTAATGGATGAATGTGATGTTGTTTGAAGTTTATTTGGTGGGCTTTCATCACTAGCATCAAGCCATGACTGTTTCTGAATGTGCAGTCTTAACAGTAAGCGACTTAAATGCATAAGATGCATGAGCCAAACCAGGTATTTGTATAAAGGAAGTTGGTGACTAGACTGCACCACAGTGTGAGACAGAGAGAAGTGCTCACCACAGCCACCCAACCCAGAGCGGGGATGCTCTCGCTCACGGCAGACAGGTGGTTGAACAGTCTGCTGCCGCGGTTCTTCTCCCGGAAATTCTGGACCTCCTGGATCTGGTCGGAGAGGGGTCTGAGGAGGTCAGCCATCTCTGTCTGATTGGGAATAAAAGCAGGAAAGCCATCAATCAAAAGTTAAGATTCACTTGTGGAACATCAAAACAGTCGGAGTTGTGCATAAATGCAATGTATGCAATTGTGCATGTGCAATGATGGCAGTATCAAGAAGAGCTAACAATTTAGGTGTAGAAAGACCAATTATTTTTGAGGAGGTATTAGTGATTCTAAAAAGCTTATTTTTGTTGGTGCAAGAGAGCATGGTGAAATACAGCAAGTAACACAGTACAGAATAATTGATTCATTGATACTGCGATACAGAAGGAGCAATTGATTTGGTTTCAATGAAAAGAACCGAAGTTTACGTATGACCAGAAGTCTTTGTTGGCAGCGTCTATGAATGTCTGTGACATGATGGTAAAAACTTAGTTTATTGTCTAAGATAATGCCCAGGTACCTGAAGTTGTCAACAATGTCCATTGGCTGGCCATTGATGGAATATAGGACAGTAAGGAATAGAGAATTTGTGTCGTGTTTCTAAAATTTGTATGAACAATACTAATAGTGATAATTGTCTTGCAGGCTCTAATAAACCACTTAAATACAGTATTTTGCCATTTTAGTAATTTCATTTGAAACAACGTCAACTGTGAGAAAACTTCCATTCATAAAATATCCATCCCTTACTTTTATAATTCAGTCAAATTACTCTAATAATTCAATTAACTCTGAGCCCAGCTTTTATAATATATTTCAAAGATGAACAAAAGGAGATTTTGTGCTGTATACCACTGTAGAGTTTCAACCTCTTTTATTAAAGACCCTGAAAGGATGTCTGCATATATTTCCTTCTTGTTTTGTTGTATTTCCTATTGAAAGTTGGGCAGCACGCACACGCGCACACACACACACACACACACACACACACACACACGTGTGTGTGTATAAACTAAAACAAATTAAAAATCACAAGTAGATAGATAAGCTAGATGGCTAGATAGATAGATAGATAGATAGATAGATAGATAGATATAGATAGATAGATAGATAGATAGATAGATAGATAGATAGAGGGCAGCATGCACACGCACACACACACACACACACACACACACACACACACACGTGTGTGTGTATAAACTAAAACAAATTAAAAATCACAAGTAGATAGATAAGCTAGATGGCTAGATAGATAGATAGATAGATAGATGATAGATAGATGATAGATAGATAGATAGATAGATAGATAGATAGATAGATAGATAGATAGATAGATAGATAGATAGATAGATAGATAGACTAAAAACTAAAACAAATTAAATAAAAATACTAAAATATCACTGCACATATAGAAGAGTTGTATGTGGAATAACATGCTAGCATTTCTATCATGACATTGCAGAAATAGAAAAAGTAGTACACTAGCATGCTAGTCAGCTGCATGTGCTATTGGAATAGGAAAATGTTTCATTCTAAAAAGCATCTGATTTTAACATCTGTATAGACCAACCTGAATCATCAAAAGGGACAGAATTTACAGAATTCACATTAGCAACATTTTGGCAAAATTTCATAGGCACTATTGTCTTTCGGCAATAGTGTAGCAATGCAACACTGTAAACTGTCCCTCTAGCCTAAAGGGAAAGAAGTGACAAATCAAACACCTTTCTGATGATCGTTTGCTGCATGGCCAACTCAAAACCACTGCGAAATCTGTGTAGGCAAAGCTTTCAGCCTTACGTGAAATTCTCAATCGTGTAGTTTCCTATTGAAATGACTAGATTACGCCCACAAAAATGTGCTTAACGAGGGTAAATGTGACCGTACCTTAAGACTGTGTACATCTGTGTACATCTATTAGCATACAGAGTATCTTAAAACTAAACAAACAGAGAAACAGCCTCTCCACATTAACTCCAATTTTGATTTCATTGGCCCTTTTCTGCAAGCACAGAGAATAGCACACTCATTTTCTATAGGGTTCAGGTCAGTGAACTGGAATGGCCATAGTAGAAGCTTGGTTTTGTGCTCAGTGACCCATTTTTGTGTTGTTTTTAAGGTTTGTTTTTGAATTATTGTCCGGTTGGAAGATCCAAACATGGCCCATTATAAGATTTCTAACAGAGTCAGTCACTTTTTGATTTTTTATCTGTTGGTATTTGATAGAATCAAAGATGCCATGAATCTAAACAAGATGTCCAGGACCTCCAGCAGAAATATAGGCCGTATATTAAAAATACAGCAGTATATTTCATTGTACGCATGGGGTACTTTTTATCCCTGTGTGCACCAAACCCATCTTGAGTGTTTGTTGCTAAAAAGCTAATTATTTAGTTACATCTGACCATAGAAGCCAGTGCCATTTGAAGTTCCAGTCGTGTCTGACAACAGAA